TTAAAGCGATTCCAAACGCACTGATTTAACTGTTTCCCAAAACGTTTACATTGGAGGCATGCTTCTGGTGATAAATGTCACTGTTCCCAGTGTGCCTATGTCAACCAATATTTCACACCCTGAAATGGCTGGCATCATCGCTGATCACATGGATAAGATATGTTGCCAGCACACCAACATGCTTGTTTCAAAGTGAAAAGCTCTTTATTCTTGTATGATCACATAGAAAAGCAATGTTTCAGGACTGCTTAGAGACCCTTCCTCAGACACTGAATGTAAAACAGTGGTTTACACAAAACTACCCCCTATTTTGACCCCCTCATTTGTCATAGCTACCATGACATTTAAATCCTTGCTGCAATAGGAAGAATATGGGCAGGGAGGGCAATGCAACCTGGGCATTACCGTTAAAAAAAAAAGTCCTAGGTCTAAGCAGCACCTTGTCCCTAAATGTAAACAATGGATTCCCTGTGCGGTAAGGCCAACAGTTTAGACACTGGCCTTGTAGAAGTGTGGATGATGACAAAGTATTCTCTTGGCATTATCAGCACATGGTTCCTTAATGTAAAACAGCTTTCTTTATTGGCCTCAAATGCATCCCTGCTATTCTAAAATGTGGAGGGAGGGTACTGATAACCAAAATAATGCACTGATAGTATTGATAATGCAAAAGGTGGACACTGATGTTTCAAAGACGGTGGATGTCTACATCAATGGACCCAGTGATAGGCAACAGGAAATAACCAACACATATAACAAAGTTCTTAAGCAGATCAGTAAAGAGTTTTTTTTCTTATTGAAGTAATGCAATAAAAATGATGAATTTTAAAAAAATCACATAAAATTGCCAGAAATATTGGTTCACTCCCCCTCTCCTTTCTCCCCTCTTACCCATTCACAAAACTCTTAGTATTACTTTCATAGAATGCAAGAGATTCTGTGAATAGAGGAGGGGGAACCTGTGATTTATCCACTTCTCCATTAGCAGAACACCTTGTGTTGTATTAGTAACAAAGAAAAAAGGCACCAAAAAGAAAAAAAAAAACAGTAATAATAGGTACTAATAGAGTATATATTATGGACAGGAAGAAAAAAAAGAAAAACATTACCTCCCTACCTATTAAATTAAGTTGCCTCCCCATTCAAAACTAGCACCCAATACACAAAAAGAAAAAGGGGGGGAGGGAAAGAAAGTCCCACCTAGAACTCCTCGGCTATAAAATACATAAAAAAGCATTTACTTGTCAATGGCAGCGGCAATATCCTGGGGAAACACTTCTAGGTACAATTGAGATTTTTTTTTAAATGGACCAGCAGGACCAAATTTTTGTATGTAAAAGTTTTTCCCTACGTTATGTTATAAAACATTTATCAGCTCCCAATTTTTTGGTAAAATATGAAAGATGGGGTCACGTTGGGTAAATAGACATCAAACATGGCAAGCTTTAAAATTGCGTCCGCCTGCGAATCGCAAAAAAAATACCATGCACAAAATTGGCTATAGGCAACGCTTTCAAAAAGCTTTTACTGCTCATCAGTTTAATGTTATCAGTGAATAATGTCCCTAGAATGATTGCTCACACTGCAAAATTTGCGGCGATATGTAACTTATGTGGTGTAATAGTTGTTTTTGCACGTAGGTGCACCCAACGCGTATTTACGTTTATGAGTGCATGCACGTGGGGGCGGGGGACTTAAAACCTTTTTGGGGGTGTTTTTTTTATATATATAAGACTTTCATTTTTTTTTCCAGCCTGCTATTGGTTATTTTAAATTGCAATAGCAGGCTGGCTATTGCACCCGTCCCCCCTGCCTGCTGGTAATCAGCAGAGGAGGACCGGCAGGAGAACATTAAATGGAGAAACATTTAAACACCTTTCTGTTGTGTCTCAAGTCGGGTGCACCTACATAGAAAAAATGACGATTGCGCTACACGTGTCAGGTATTGCCGCGTTTGACAGAGTGAGAGCAATAATTATATTCATGCCTAACTCTCTAAACTGATGACTAGACTTTTATAATAAATAAATATGTATATAGATAGATAGATAGATATATATATATATCTATATATATATAGATAAATATATACAGTATATAAGGTGGCAACCGTAATTTTTGGTTTCGGCCTGTAAATTCTGCTCCGGTATGTGCATTGTGGTGCCATTAATTTCAATGGCATCCCAAATGCACCTCCTGGCTGCAGTGTGATCGCCTGCAGCCAGAATGTGCGGTACTGCATTCCAGTGCAGTGTGAGTGCAAAAAAAAATGTGCATACCGTTTTATTCTGAAGTAAACTTTATGTTTGTAGCACTGCATTTGTGTATTTTATTTTCAATTGAGGGTTTTTTTTTTTATCCGATTAATGTTTCAGAATAGAAACAGTTAGCTACGTGTTTCTGTTGTGAAAAATAGTTTCAGGCTACTGATCGTTGTGGGAACGATCAGAAACCTTTAGTGACATCTGATCCTGAAATGCTGCATGTGTCACTATGGTTATTATTGGCTGTTCCTAAATTTGAAGCAGCCTAATAATAACCAAAAATTTATTAAATTATCAAGCAGTCATAGTGAGATCCATTCACATGTTTTTTGTTTTTAGTACACTTTTTTAATTTCACTTATACAGTATATTATAATATGTATACAGTATACCTATAAAATAGTCCATCCCCAGACTAATCCACAGGTCACAATGATGTCAGATGACTTGGATGACATTTGAGTGTGCTAAAGACTTACGCAAACTGTTTTCCCCCTGTATGCATCGCAAAGTAGTGTTTGAAAGGGGAATAAAGCTCTCCCGAAGTAAAACACTTACGTTCATTTTCAGCTTTACCATTCCACTACTTTACATAAAAGTCATGCTAATGTGACATCATTTTAATCAGCAGACTTTGTTGATTACATTTTGGGGTAAATATATGGTGCGCAAATTAGGTAAACATTGCATTGGGAAAAACTTACAGAAAAATTAATTTTGTTATCTATTTTTTTACTATTTATTCCCATTAAAAACTGATTAACAAAATATTACATACACCTATGTACATTAATGAGGCAGACTTGACTTACGCTTAAACTTGCTATAAGGTATGCCTGTTTGTAGATGACACACTACTTTTTTTTTTATACAACCTACTAGTTTTCCTGCTCTGTTAATTCTCAATGGTTTTACAACCTTATCTGCCCTTTCTGTCAATGGATCCAAATCTATGGCTTTTAATGTCTGTGAAGGTTCTCATTCATCAGGTCATGGTATATCTGTAAAAAATATGTCAAGGCAACTAGACTTGCTGTATTTTTCTTGAAGACGTTTCATTGGTCATCCAACCAGCTTTCTCGATTCAGAAATTCAATTCAGAAATCTGAATTGAGAAAGCTGGTTGGATGACCAGTGAAACATCTTCAAGAAATATACAGCAAGTCCAGTTGCCTTGACTTATTTTTTTACACATATGGCTCTCAATATTTCCCTCCCTCCTTACATGGTCTCCTCATTGCAAAAGAGTTTCCATTTTCAACAACGAATTACATCACTTCCCTTATTTGGGATTCATTTAACAAGCTTCTATGACACCCTTTACGCAATCAATTGTCCCCCTGTGTTTGCCAAACTTAAAGCCCTGCCCTCATCATGGTCACACTATAATCTTTCCTACCAAAAATAGTATACCGTTTTTTGTACCCTATCTGTGGCTGTCCCCACTCCTGCACTTAAAACCCTCCAATCACAGGTCAACAGTTTTATTTGGGCTAACCAGAAACCGAGGTTTATATAACAAATTCTATATCTACACAAGTCCCAGGGAGGTTTGGGTGTCCCCAACTTCACTAAATATTATATTGCTGCCCAAATCAATCAACTTACCAAATACCAAATAGCATGAAACCTCTTAATCCCCTCGATGGGTGGACCTTGAAGCTGAACCTCTTCATCTACTACCAATAGACAGTTTGCTTTGGCCAAGAGCCTCGTGCCCAAGAGTAGACCCACCATTTTCATCCCGGTTACTTCCCACGCCCTTCGTCTTTGGGATTCTCACAAATACTCAACAGGTTTATGATTCCCCAATCTGCCCCTACTCTCTTTCTTCCGCAACCCGTCTTTCCTGCCGACGATGGAATCACCTAAAGCCTGTGACCCTTGGGTCCATTTTGGCCTGACCCGTTTCTGGCAGGTTCAATGCGATAGTGGTATTAAGTCCATCCAATACCTCATAGAGCACTTCCACATTCCGAACTAGGACATTTAACATTATCTGCAAATTGTGAATTTTATCGATTTTATCTCCAAAACAATTAGACCTCATAAATCTCATGCATGCAAAACTGTCCTCATGTGAACATTAATGTAGGGATGTCCAACACAGCCTGGGTCTGATTTCCCTTCTGTATTCCACTCTGGTAGCACCCCCCACCTTGATCCCCATGTATGTACCTATATGGGATGGGGATCTAGGTGTTTCCCTGGGAGACGAGGCATGGACATAAATATGGATGGCCACTTAATCGTGAACACAGAGTGCAATTGCTTTGGAGATCAACTATAAAGTTCTACTGAGGTGGTGCAAGGTCCCCATGCTTATACCTCACATTATTCCCCATTCTGTGTTAGGGGATGTGGCAAACTAGGTTCATATATACATGTATGGTGACACTGTCCATTTGCTTCTTGATTTTCAAAGTGTATTTATTGTATCCTTACAACCCTGGCAGGTAGACCACTTACCACAGACACAGCTTTTGAAAGAAATGATCCTGCAGATTTCCATCCATCAACAAACTGCATGGACAAAACACAGATCTGCTTTAGTATTAATTAAGTTCAGTTGTCTTATAGCAAGCCTGCAAAAGAAAACAATCTGTAATTTTTACTTTGGATTATGATAATAATGTATTTAATCTGTAGTATTTTAACTGTGTGTCATTTTAGCTGCGTATCCTATGCAAACCGCCAAGGCACATTAATCATTATCACTGTTTTCCTATTTTTCAGAATATTGTCAAGTGCAGGAAAAGAATTGAAGGATAATTTCCTGAAGGCATTAGCTCTTAGGGAGGAAGCAAACCGCAATGGGAAGATGACTGTGAGTACAGCACTTTGAATTGTGAACAGCTTACTTACTGTACATTGGACAACAGTCTTGAAGGATATACTAATTGAGAAATGGGTTTATTGTCTATAGTCACACAGTGCTGAAATTTCACTGTATCAGCTGATTGGAAAAAAAATTTTTAGAATTTGACATACTGCATGTTGGCTCTTTTACGTGTGCTAGTGTACATGTAAGTGTACTTTTTGTTTAACAATTTTTAATCAGTTCTTTGCTGTGCCTGCTCCATATGGCTGTGGTTGCGCTGTCATTTAGACATTGCAGAGTAACAAAGGGTACAACCTTGTACCAACAAACTAGGAAGAAAATCTTGTAAGATCTTAGTTTGCCTGCCAGGTGATTTTCCAGATCACAGCTATTTTGCTCTAAAAGTCTCAGCAACGGTGTCTGTCTACCTTCAGTTGAAAATCAGTTGTGTTCAATTGTGTTCCTGACAGAAAGGTAAGCATGAGTAACTCCTTGTTTTGTCTATCATATAATTGAACTCACCCAGATGCTAACGTTGAGTGCCACTCTTCTACTCCCCTGTGTTCAATGGCTCTGTTTGAATCCTGGAAACAAGAGGTCTATATTAGACATGTGCACCAGCAAAAAATGTGTTTAGTTTCGTTTCTTTTTTATTCAGATTTTGCTTTATTTAGTTTTTCGGAATTCAGGTCCGAAAGTCAAATCGTTTCTGAATTCGGATTCGTACGAAATTCGTTAGCGGTAATCTGTGCGAACGTTCGTTTCATTTGTTGCAGCAAAGTGACATTTAAGAGGGAAAAAAGTTTTTTTGTTCTCAAATGTCACTTTGCTGCAACGAAATTTCATCCAAAAAACGAAAGTTCATCAAAAAAAAAAAACGAATCGGAAATTCGGAATAGGAAATCCGGATTCGTTTGCATTCGTTATATCTGTAATTCGGATACATCCGATTCTCTGAATTTCCGAAATTTCGTCCGAATTTCGATTCTGAACTAAACGAATCGCACATGCCTACTACTTAGACACTAGCACAGAACAGGTAGACCGATCAGGAATTATGACTTCACTTTGACTTATTTTGCTGCATACTTGTTCTAGGTCAGTGACCAAGAAGGTATAGAAGCCAGATGATCAGCAAGTCCGCTAGGTTAATTGTACATTTCACTGGTTCCTTTCGCTTTGTACTGCTAAATTTGCCAGATAATGGACAATTTTAGCTGACATCCTAGGGTCTATGCTGGATACAGTAGAGCATCCAAAACAATGTAATGTTTGGGCAAAGTTCTGCCTGTGTCTGAACTATTCTTGTGCAAGGAAGACTTGCTGAAGAAGCAGTATAAAACTATAGGCAGCTGTGAATTTTGTGCTGCATCACCCTACCCCTAACCATGGCCATCATTAAGATTCAGTACATGCTTTTAGGCTCTCTATTGTCAGAGTGCTTGGCTGAGGTCATCAAGTATGCCAAAGGCTCTTTTGTAAGACACACAGAGGCCCCCATTTAAATACTGTACCAGGAACCTGTGGATTGTAGTAAAATTCATCTAAACACTCTTCAGTAATTTCTCATTAGAGTAAACAGTATATTATGATCCTGAAGGACTTATACAGTAGCATTCATTAATGAAAAGCCTTGATGTTCATTTATGCTGATTCACTCAGACACCCATCATGCTGGTTCTCTGTGACATGAAACACTCTGATCAGAGCAGACGGCTCACATGTAAGTTGAATCTGTGCAGCTATTCTCCCTTGACATGAAGTTTTGACTATTGGCTGTGACATTAAGAGCTCTATTGAGTTCCGCGAGGGGGAAGCACGTCTGATAGCAGCAAAAGTGTGTTTTGGGCTACTGATAGATGTTAGATGGTATGTGTAATGAAAAGGCATTCATTGAAAGCTCACCAGCCAGCCTGACATAACGTTATGAGAAAGTGATAGGTATGTCTTACAGGTCCATTCATCCATACTTCATGGAGAGAACGCTAAACCAATATTTGTATAATTGCACATACGTTCCACATTTATTTTTGAGAAAAGTATATCTGATCTATTGCATAAGTTAATAATTTGGCTTTCCTCTAATGTGGCATTCTAATTACGCAAGTTGTAAATGGTCAGACTAAGTCTGGCTTCTTTGATTCTCGGAATATCTCTCTGAGGCATTTTATCGCATTAAATTGGTCTTTCCTGCTCAAACACATTTAAAAATAGTTAAGTGATTCAGAGATAACAGAAAGTCTGTCAAGGTGCAGATACAGCTAATTAAATATAGTACAGGATTTTAAAAAATAAATTTCTATAGTGGGTTCTATAGTGCCTTTTATTAAACATTCATACAGTCTAATACAATACTTCTGGGAATTGCCTATGGCATTTCTGGTCATTTTATCTCTAGGAACAGCATGTGATGCATCTGAGGAATCTTAACATCCTAACATTTTCAGTAGGGATACAATATTTGATTTACAAACTTTCTGTCATAATAGGTCTTCCAAATGACACTGTCTGAGAGCAGAAGTGTATGTTGCTGATGGAAACCATTCAAGTTATTCCTTTTATTCATGCAATTATGAATGGAAAAGAATCATCTAATTGGCTGCACCACAGATACATTATTTACAAAGTATTTACAAAATAGGAAAATGGGACTCAATACCAATTTAATTATTAAGGTGTAAAGTTATATTTAAGTCAAAATGTTTTTAAGCTATTTCAAATGTTGATTAAATCACTTAGGCCGGGTTCACACCTGGGCGTTTTACAGCGCTGATCGACGCGCTGTAAACGCCAGCAAGTGAAATCCCATTATTTCCTATGGGCATGGTTCCCACCTGGGCGTATTTCAGCACGTCGGAACTCGCTGAAAACGCCCTACGCCCAAAGAAGTACAGGAGCTTCTTTGGGGCGTATTTCCGGATAGCCCTCGTAAACGCACGTTTGAGGCACGTTTGGTGGAACGCAAATCGCGGTAAAAACGTCATATGCGCATATTTCGAACGCCCAGGTGGGAACCCAGCCTTAAGGTTTTAGTTTCCCACAAGCGTTTTCAATCCTGTGCTATGCTAAGAATTCTCTCTTGAACCACCTCATTAACGCAGTTTGATGCTTGATACCCAGACACTGGAGAACTAATACAAGCCCCACAATTTGTGAATGGATCAGGCAGATTAATTTTGCTAAGGAAATGGAGGAAATACACTGAGTGTCCAGATTATTATGACCACCTGACGTTTGTAGGCAAATTAGCTATAATTTCGCGCTGTAGTTGCTAGAGGGCCAGACCATTATAAATAGGGAAGCAGGTTGTTTACCACGACAGTAGAAGTGATTTTTTTTCTGAAGATACGGGTAAACAACGCGATTTAACAGCCTTTGAATGTGGGATGATTGTTGGCGCTCAAGCCATGGAGCGAGTATCAGCAAAACAGCAGAATTTGTTAAATGTTCAAGAGCAGCTGTTGTTCAATTGTTTAAAGACTGGAATGTCAGCCGAAAATCTGGGTCTGAACGTGCAAATTGTGGCCGCCAGCAACTAGTCAATGTTAGGGCAGAATGGAGAGTGGCAAGACTGGTACAAGACAACAGAAGGGCAACAGTGCAGTGTCAGATTCCTCGCATCACCTTTCAACATCTCGTGGAGTCACGAGGCGGCCCAACTAAGTCATCTCAAGGAGTCATCTCGTGGCCCAACAAAGTACTGATGGGGTGGTCATAATAATCTGACCACTCAGTGTATTTCACACTAAAACTGACAAGATAGAAACATTCCATGTAATCTGGCTCAGCTAGATAGACTTTACATTCAAGGCTAGTACACACCAGCCACAGTGTGTTCTGGCCCGATTGGGGTGGTAAGGGGGTGCAACTCAATGGCACCTCAGGCACGCCCTCCGGTCGCAATGAGATCAGCAGCACGGGAACGCATGGTACATCAGTGCCTGCGTTCCAGTCCGGTCAGAATAGTGCTACAAGCACTATTTTTTTCTGATCGGAGCAGAATGCAGGCACGTGTTCCTGTGCGGCCAATCACATTGTGGTCGTAGGGTGTAGCTGAGGTGCCATTGACTTCAATGCACCGCCATGTGTCCTTCCGCCCCAACACATAGTCAGGTGGCCGCAATGCGATCCAGTGCGTTCCGGTCCCAATCGAATGAGAAAAATAGAGCAGATTCCTTCATCAACACTTAGGAATGTGTCGACCGAGGAATCACGCTGTTTGCAGTGTATTTTGACAGGAGTCGGCGGCCCTTGTCAAAATACTCGACGAGAGCGGGCAGCTTATTGGCTGTCGGCTCCTATGATATGAAAATTTTTGCCCAGCTCCTTTGATCAGCTGATCAAGGGATGCCGACTGCAAGGGTCTTCAAGGCTGGCTTTTGGCCTTTTGTTTGTCCTCTACCAGAAAGACAAGGTAGGCCACAGAGTTCTGACAGTTAAGAAGGTTGTGTGGATCGTCACCAGGTGAAGATCGTTGGGGGCACAATTGGTTTCTGGCTCTCTTTGTCCTCCCCTTTCCTTCTGTTTCTCCCTTACCCTCGCCACTTGTTTTTTTTTTCACTCGCTCCACATCAGTTGGGCTTAAGGTTTATGCAATGAGAGAGGTTACCTGTTACATTCTATACTGATGCCTCTTTATGGGTATCTGGACTGAATGACTTTCATTGCAGTGTTGACATATTGTTTTTTTTTACCAGTTCTACATAATATTTTATTTTCTTAACATTTTTTAACAAGTTGCTTTGGGGAAAAAAGTTTTACAGCTCTATACACAAAAGGGTGAAGAGTTTGGAGAAGGCAGGAGAAGTGAACAATCTAGGACAAAATAGCCGATTTGGAAAAATTCTCCAATTCAGCTCACTTTCCAGTTCAGCTATGTTGTCCTAGATTGTTCACTTCTCCTGCCTTCTCCAAACTCTTCACCCTTTATTGAATAGACCCCCTAGTTTGCTGCAAATTCAGCTGGTCCCCTAAGGACTGACTCTGATATCCTGTTTTAGGGTGGC